TTTTACTATTCTTCCGAAAATGTTCCAAGAAAAGGTAAGAGATTACGGCAAAAACTTGCGATAGTTACCCATTGTTGATCCCGCCATGTTTGTCTTGATGGCGCTCACTTCGCAAAGTCAAAACTTCGTCAAAACTCTCTTAGTTCCGTCGAAAATCTCACAAAATTCACTATATGGTAAGCTTTGGCAATAATTATTTTCCAGTTGACAAAGAGACGGATTAGGATTAATCGTTAGAGCACTTTCAACACAAATAAGAGACACGCTTCAATACAAAGATAATAGCTGGTTGTCATGCAACACAGAGAATGGCTTGCCAGCCAGCATGGCGTTGCTAAGGGGAAATCGGTCACATGATCAACTCCTGCAAAAGGCCTATTAGTGGGTATTTACGTATTTATGACGACACTGTGATTGTTATCAACGACCAAAGTTCATAGTCTCCAAGATTGTCTCGTAAGAACCACTCTTAAATGATCACTTTCGACGAAGCTTTTCGTCTGCCTCGCAGTCTTTTTGAGGAGACAAATAAAGATTAACTCGAATGCTTGCAGGACGGTTTTACTATAATAATGAAAATAAAACAAAATCAAAACTTCTGAAGTATGTACAAATAAAAACGTTCACTCAAATTAAGTTGGCTACGAGTGAATGGCTCTGTCTCATGAAAGCGATCAACGGTGACAAATGACTATAGCCCATAGAGAAGAAGATAACAAGAAAAGTGAATAGTTCTTAAACACAATAACATAAGCAGGGAACAGAACAGATGGGCGAAGTTTTATAGGCTAAACGACCCCAAGTCGGTCGTTTTATAGGTTAAATAAACCCCTGACCAGACCCCAAAATCACACGCTGGGGCGGCCTGTGGTCGAAGCGGAAATTCTGAGCAAGCTGTGAAACACCACCACGATCTACCGCTCATGCTGAATATATTAAATAAAGTGATATATGACTGGCATTTTCTCCTCGCATCCGACCCAGACATCGATTTACTAATTGTGGAAGAGAATAACAGAGTTTGGCCTAAACTTCGTATTTTCTTTAAGGCATGTTCACAAAGTAGATCTAAGTAGCCCGGTATTCTGCATTTTTTGTAGATTTCATTTCTATGTTTTCATCAAGGTTCTTAAGACGCTCTTAAGCTCCCAGATGTCCGGAAGGTTGGTAATTTTAGAATTTGCCACTCACGAACGAAAAAAACCGTGCACCATGAATGATTGATATATAAAAATGATTGAACTCACTCGTAAGAATGTAAACAGCTGCAGCAATTCCACCGATTATTAACAACGCCACCACAACTGCTATAATCACCAGTCGAGTCTTTCCACATTTACGCAAACGGTATCCTATACCGACATCATCGACGAGTTCCACCTTGTCATCCGCCGCAGGATTTTTCATTCCCCTCATGATAAACAGGTAAAGCCCTAAGAAGCGAGCTAACGATGAACAAAAAGTCCCCGATAACACGTGGAATAATATTTCGCTTCCACGCTCTGGCGCGAAGACCCACTTTGAGATAACTTGAGAGCGCGTCGGAATGTACCGGATTTGGAAACAGGAAGTTTCGCATGTCAATCACCTCCTACTTCAAACCTCAGTAACTGACTCGAGTGACAGATTGAATAAATTTGAGTAAATATTCAAATAACTAGCTTGCAAGCCTTGCAGGAGGGCATTAAATCTTTCATTTTCATTTTTTGTCGAGGAATATTCGTTACGAATTAAGTCAGTGACAAAATGTGGTAGTAAATATTAATTACGTCGCCAAAATGTAAATGATTGCATTTGTTACATTCGGTTTATTAGGCCATTCTGGCGGTTGTTAAGGCTAAACTTCAGAATACCCGGCTACTCATTTACATGTCATTGAATAAGAATAGCATCTATTGTGTTATGCTTCATTCTTCAAAGCCTCCCGACACATGTAAATGATGTGGACGGGTATTCTGCTGATTACCCTGATTTCGTTTGTGCTCACTCTCTCGTTATACAAACTCGATTGCAAAAGCGTTGACGTCTAAAAAGAGTTTGCAATGAATAATGAGACCATACGGCCTTATGAGTCAGATTTATATGATAACCCGGCACCATTAGTTGCACGGCGCCCCCTTAGCATTATCCAAACATATTTTTTAACTGAACAACACGAGGCAAGTTAGAGTCGTAAAAATGGTTTTTGCACAAACCTGAGGACGGTTTTTCAAATGGCGCCCTTTTTGTTCCTTTTGACTTAAATCGAAGGATAATAGCACCAACAGTGACGCTGATGACCAAAATAACACTACGATGGCTGTGATTAGCACTCTAGTCTTTCCACAATTACGAAGCCGGTATCTTATGCCGAGGCTGTCTTCATCGAGAATCTCGACTTTGTCATCTGCGACTGAATTGCGCATTTGGAACATGGTCTCATCAGGATTTGTACAACACCCTCCAAACTTTTAAATTTGTTCTATACAGACAGCAAGTTAAAGAACGCGCAAGAATGTACCCACAATTTGAGCGCTGGGGAATAAGGTGGCTTGCTGCACGGCACCCGGAAAAAAAAGCACTGCCAGTTTGTTCTAGAAAGTAAGTGATCTGATTCGACTTTGCCGACCTCATAACAGAAATCATGACCCGATTAAAAAAGGCTTCTATTGTTCCCCAGGTGGTTGATACGGCAGTTTCTGTCAATCAGTTGCTACGATAATGACAATGCTTTGCATCGGAAACTGAACGACTGCAAATTGTAAATAATAAATTCTTCCTGAAGCGAATTTGACAGACTCGTTTCCTTTTCACTCCCCAGTTCCTTGCCAAACCGAGACGTTCTCCCCTCCAGAGGAAACAGATGAAGAGGAGAATGATCGTAAACCTGGCAAAGACGGAAGTTTAAAACAAGGGGGTTTAGGTTGGTTTCGTAACTCTCTGACTGTCAACAATCTGTTGTTTTCGTGTTCATACACTGTGACTTGGATAACCAATGGATGCTTCTGTCGGTCAGTTAGTTTCACATGATTGAAATGTTATTGGTTAAAGTTCAAGTATAAAAGAAGGATAAAACGCAAGCGATTTGAGTATTATTAACAGCAGTGTTTTGTATCAGGAAAAGCCAATGTTTTAAATGCCTCTGCTCCTTCGTACTTATGATTATAGATCATTTCAAAACTGCTTAAAATTGTACCAAGTGTTGTATGAAATTGAGGATGAAGGTGTCTGTTTGAAGTTTGAATGGCAGCACAATTGCGCACAACTGGTACGTTTGACTCGGCTGAAACAACGTTGAACTAGTGCCTAAAGAGGCAAATCACGTGACTGGCAATTTTGCACGCCAAACGGGTTAGTGATGCAAGTACACCGTGATTCCGATATTTGGCGATCTGCCAAGTCTGACATCAGCCAACTAATTCACAGTCACTCGCCAATCCGATATGTGCCTTTCCGCGACTTTCCATTCTTGCAATTCACAAACAGGTCAACCAATCAGTCATTGCTATATTATCACATGACCTTTTCAAATGAAGGACAAAAGAGATGTGCCAAATCGCCGCACGATTGCATGGCATAAACGTCGCTGGGCAAAGCGTAAGCGAATCATTCAAAAGAAGAAAATTTGCTCATGCGTTTCGTCGACAGCCAAATTCTTCGCAGTTGGCGAATAGAACGACTTGTGTTTCCCCGATATCAATTAACTCTGTTATTCTGGGAATCAACTGTGACATGCTTATGTCACTCGAAGCAATTAACATCTGATAATTGAAATAAGCCGTTGGTAGGATTTTTTTAACACACAAATAACGGAGAAAAGAATACACGCGTATTAAATGCGCCTAAAACAAGCTTTGGAGGTGCAATAAATACTGTTCCATTTTTTTTTCTGTAGGTTGGTTTGATCTGTTGGTAGCACATTATTGAAAGTGGCAACAGCAGAACTTCTTTAACACCATTTTTTCAACACATATTTTCCGCCACGTCGAGGTTTCCAAGCAATGATTCAAATTACGAATTGATATGACAAAAGTTGAATGTAGATACGCAGTTAAAAGTAAGGAGCGTTGCACGTATCAGTGTGCCGTGCAATCAACACTTGTGATAAAAATTGCCATAAACTTCGAGAATTCACCGCTATCAACTCCAGCAATAAAAATTGCCATACACATCGATAATTCACCGATGCGAGAAAGCCTTTTTTAGTCAACCAACCGGACTAGGTGAGTGATTCGTTTCTCTAAAATGTCTTTTAAATTGTAAGCCGGGAACTTTTCTGTTCAAATTTTACGAACCGAGTTCGCAATTAAACGTTTGCTAATATGCAGACAGATCCTTGTAAACGGCGCCTCCGTTAAGGTATGGCTTACAAAAATTGAAACTTTTCGTAACTGCACACCATATTTGCAAAAACACGTCGATCTGTGGAGTGAATTTTAATTGCGCGATTGATATGTTAGTCTCATGTGGTTTGAGAATTGTTTAGATGAATCAATGAGACAAAAATACGCTCTAAGTTTCGATGGAAGGGAGATAAATTTTGAGAACGCATCTAAACGGACATTGTAGCCGTGCAGCAAAGCCGAGTGACGTCATGACTGATTTTAGCTCATTAGAAAACCCTGCATGGAATATGTTAATAACATACATATATCTTATACAAGTTAAAAATTGCCTTTATGAGCCCAAAAATTGACATCATATTTACGAGAGGAGATGATCCTCGGTTGAATTATAAATAACCTCTAAAATGTTGGAAAGCGAGAAGAGATCTCCTGATCTCCTGTCACCCAACATGCTACCCGCACAGCTAACGTGTCTCAACGCTGGCTACTCGAAAATGTGAATCAGGTTTCTGCGACTCTTAACTCTTGGCCATTTGTAGTGACTAACAAAAAAAAGTCTTCGTTTCCTCTCGATCTGATTTTGTTACGTATATGGGAGACACCCAATGAAATGATCGTGCCATTTCGAAAGCTTCCAGAACATTTTCTCCTGTTACCTTACCAGTTTATAATTAGGCAGGGATGAGAACAAGATACATCGCTCATGCTAACTCCAAAGACTAGAAGTCTTAACTCGTTATGTCTTTCAGTCATCGACTGCAGCAAATATAGAGCTGACGAAAAAAGATGAAGCTTGTCCTGCTGATAATGGTAACAAACTTTTGGCTATGCTCTGCTTTTGAAGGTATGCAAAGAGCGAAGGTGACCGTCGGTTAGGATAAAATAGGAGTACTAATTCCTTTTATTTGCTATCATCATATACTTGTTTTTGTTCTAGTCCTACATGCGAACCGGCTTACGCGCGTCCCTTGAGGTGAGGGCTGGGCGGTAGGCGCGCTTAATCTTTGATATTATGTTCTTGAGCTCACAGACCTCGCCTGACCGAACAATAGAAATGTGACAGGTGAATGTCAATGAAACATAAAAAATTTCTGGGGAAGAATTAAACTGTGAAGGGGCGCCAATGTTTCTCATTCCTTGTTATTTCATTACTAAGCTCCAGTAGCTTTGATAACCAATATTTTTTAAAAGACTTCCGCCTTTGTCCTTGGATTAATTTTCCTTTATTTCATATGTCCGATTACTTACTTAATTCACACTCGTGAAATATACAGGTCATTGATTAAGCTCACATTTTCATAGAGATGTGAAGAAATTTAAGGCAGCCAATTTATGATCTGCGTGAGCATAGTTAATGGAGGGGAACCTATGTCTGCAGTACATAAATAATAGCTTGTCTTTGATCTTTGTGGTGCAAACTAAGATTTAGACATTTTATTGTATATTGTTGTCCATACAGAAACAGACACAAGTACACTTTCCACAAGCTCGACCATAACGTCATCCAGTACGTCTAGCGAAACGTCCACACCTACGCTTTCTACCTCTACTTCTATGAGCACCAGCAGCAGTAGTTGGGATTGGGGCTGGGGCGAGGGAACCACGTCATCGTTTAGTGTATCAAGCACGGAGATTATGACGTCATCTTCACCATACAGTGAATCGACGTCAACGAGCTCTTTAAGTATCGAACTGAACCCTACATCAACATCTTCAGCAAGTTCTTCGAGCTCTTCAGAGGCAGTTGATGCAATAGAGATGTTGTTTGCGTACTTATATCAGGCATTAGAAAACGATCGAGAAATCGATCATCTCAAAAAACGAAAGAGGCGCGAAGCTGAGAAACCAGGCTTGGCTAAGAGAAGTGACCTGGCATTCCATGGAGAGAAGAAAAGGCGGTTGGGAATCCGAAGGAAAGATGACTTCGTTAAAAAGATCTTGCGCCTCGCAAGGAAACGAGAATGATTGCTCTGCATACTGTGGGAAAATTAGTATCGCTGACAATTATGCCAATTAGAAACTTGTAAACTTTTTTTTATCAACAAATGTGTTTGGTTTGCTTTACGTACTAGTCTGAAGATAAATAAAGTAGGCTCGGCTGCTACGCACCGCAGAATTACCCATGTATTGATCTTCTTATGGTTGTGATTTAAAAATAACTTGAGAAAACTCTTTAGAACACTGTGAAAGCCTCCATGAAGAATTCAGTCTCATAAGCGTACCATTCCCCGCCTGGGGAAGACAGGTGACAACAGAGTATTCCCGGAGACAAACGCTTGTTGTAAAATACATCTCTTTATTTTAAAACTAATCCAGTTATCTATACATTTATCATCTAAATTTACTTCGAAACCGAGGAGAGTTGATCCCTTATTTTCCCTAGTCCATCCAACATGGTGTCAAGTTTCTCCTTGGTGAGCTCCACATTGAGACGCCGCACGGAAGGCATGGAATTCTGCTCTACGGCATTTTCTTGAACCTTGAAATAAAACAGGAATGGTCACTCAAAAGTGTGGATGTATCCCTTACGAATGACAAGTGTTAATGGACTGTTGTTGCTAGGAACTTCTTAGTGGCAAGGGTTTAATGGTTGGCTCGCCGAACACCAATTACAGAACTAGAGAGCCATGGACAAGTGATTAATGTAATGACACCTGGTTTGCTAATGAAGCGTCCCTCTTTGAAATCGAGACTTACAAGTATGTAAAAGGCCTTCTTTACACTGTGACATAGACAAGCCAATGCTGTTCTGAATAAACTCAGTCATATCCAGGAACTTCTGTAAAAATCACATCGACCCAAGCAAACAAAACAAAGAAATTTTAAAGCTGAACAAGAATTTAGTTCCAAGCATAGAATGGCAAACCCAGTTCTCTTAAAACAAACCTGTAGCTGTATAATACATGTTGGCATGGACAATCTGCTGATGACGTTCGAAGACGTTTTGACATCCACTCTCCAATCAAAGTCAATCAGTTTTGGTAATGAAACTGTCAACGACACAAAACAACCACAGTGGGTTAGTCAGTGTCAATCACTGGGTGGGGGGGGGGAAGGTCGGGCTTCCACTTAAACTAAAGCGTCATTTTTAGCCTGAAAGACAAACTGACCAACTAACAATAAACACAACAAACAAGCTCAAAATTTCACTATCTTTCTTACCCTATTTACGCACAAGCACTTCGCTTGTTATATATAAACGAAGTCTTCCGTGTAGCCTGCAGAAGATGGCGTCATATATCTGTATTTTTTTCATTTTCAGGCGAGCGGAGGCAAGCGCGAATGGCAAGTCTCTTTTTCCAATATAAGTTGTCGAAAAACTTTTGAAAATTCTCCGTCTTGGACAAACACTGTTTCACGTTTGAAGAAAAAAGTTCTCGTCTTTTATTGTGCCAGATACGCCAATTTTGGATGAACGCAAACTAAAACTGGACTTTGAACAGTTCGTACTAAAATCACCCTACCTTGCTGGTTAATGGCATTTGTCCTCCACAGGGGCCTACCAAATGAAAACAGCTAAATCACCAAAAACTTAAATACATGACTGAAAAGATTTAACAGATTCCTTCTGGCTGGCGGTTTGATTGTTTACTTGGGGTGAAGTTTTGCAGAAAAGCCCATCAATTGAAAATAAACCTGAAAAAATTTTTTTCATCATTTGTTCTGTCAATAGTGCTTAGAAAATTTTTTCTCAATAGTTTTTACTGGAGAAGATGTTTCCTTACTTTCCCCTGAAACCCCTCACGGTTCTTCCCCAAAGAATATCTCGTTGTTGTTTATCAATAGGTCACCGCCTTAGAAACTTGGGGCTCATGGTGTCATCTATGTATCAGTTAGTTAGACTTAATTAAAAAGTTACACACTCACATATTTTCAGCAATAATCTTGGAAATAAGTTCTCTGAGATTCTTGTGAAAGTTCTCTAAAATATTACAAAAAGCACTTTTAGTTTATATTGGTGACAGTTGTAACCAATTACCTGATCATCTTAAAATCCTACGAGGATTTATCACCAAAAAAAGTAGCTACAAAGTTTTAAGGTTGTTGACAAATCTCACAATCAGTAGCTGCTCGAAAGATACACCCTACCCCATCCCCAACCCCTTGAGCCAAGTTTTGATATGTAAAATCTCAAGTTGCCAACTGAAGCAACAAAGCCTGAGGTTCAGATCCTCTCTTGGGGCCCAACATTTTTCTCTGTTCCTTGCATAAGGTAGAATTTGATTTCAAATAATTAACCCCAAGACCTACAATTGTTAGGCAGAAAAAAAAACATTTTATTGTTTTCACACCTGGAAACAAGTCATATACTGCTTTTGGGTCTGTAAGGCACTCAAACAATGCTGCATGAACCACAGTCACAAGGCTCTCCATTAACTAAAACAGAAACATTACAATCAAATGTATTTATTTGCAGTATTTAGACATGCTGGCCCCATTCGGTCTTAAAGCTGATTTAAATGGGAGCCTCTATAAACAAGAACAAGGCCAGCCCCCAACACCCGGAGCTACGTTCCCTAGTCCAGCGGTGCGAAAAGTGCATAGGTTCTTTAATATCCACTGCTAACCAGTACAGAGAAGATGCAGGAGATGGAGCCTACAGTTTATTGTCCTCAATGAAGAAAACTACAATGCCTAACAACTTGCAGATGTCACAGCAAAAGTAGCAGCTTCTCCTCAGTTAATTTGGGACCATGAGTGTTTGTTTTTGTCTGGGGCTTGAACCCTCAATTTCCCAAATAACAGTCTAGTGCTCTCCAACATGACCTAGACCTTGGTCTGTAGTAATGTGCCCTTAACAAACAAGTGAGGTATTCATTCTCATACCAGTCTTGCTTCATCAAGCCCTGCATCTAAGGAAGCTGCTACATTTTTGAGAACAGATACTGGGACTGCAAGGGAAAAGAACAAATAATAATAATTCTTGAAAGTCAGCATATTCATCTTGATTGATACCATAAATTATCAGTTCTATGGAGATACTACTCATTTTTCACCACTAGGATTGAAATTTTAGGGTTAATTAAAAAAAATAGGTTAACGTAGGCTGTAATTTTATACCATCAGTTGACCTTATGATTTCATACTACATGCATTGTTCAAAAATAATTTCTTTTTCCAGTGTTGGTTATACACCTCCTTTACCCTGTTAAAAAATCAAATTTAAGTTGAAAAATTTTTCTACACATTGGTAGAATGAGAAAGATGCAATAGTAAGTTTGGAACATGGCATGAGATGATTAACGATGCTTCCTCTTGCCAACAGCTTGGGAAAATGAAAAATGATCTGCCAGAAAGAAACTTTGCCTGTCAGCGCTACTCATCTGCTATAAACCTTCAAGAAAATTTTGCAACTTAAAGTAAATAAACTATTGAAAAAGAAAAAAAACCTTATGGGCGCACTAACCTGCATCAGCTCTGTACCTAAAAGCCTCGTGGAAAAGGGTGCGAACGAATTCTTTAGACTGAGCCTAGAATGGATCATTGAATAGAATGAACCATAAAGTCGATGCAGGGAACGTTCTCTGGAAAACAAGTAGGGCTTCCTGATATTGATCAAATTTGAAATATCTCATTTCCCTCCGTCTTGTTCGCTGTATTTCTTGGAAGAAAACTCTCTCTGGAAGCGCTGATTTTTAAAGCTACTGTTCTTTTATCCTGGAGCACGGATACTGCGAAAACTAAACGAATTTCGTCCAAAGATATAACCATCGACCTGCCACTTTTTATTAATAGAGAGTGGCATGCATAAGGGACTTAACTAACAAAAGCCAAGATTTCCCAACCCTTAAAATTCTAACACAATTGTATAGTCATATAAGGCTTATATTTCAGGAAAACTACTCTGTCAGTTCTGAGTTGTTCCGCACTCAGTCAACGTGAGGGTAGTCACACAATTTGATCTTGCTCAATCAGGCTCCTGTCGATGTAAAAAAGGCTGTCAAACCTGCACAAACATTTATTTCATTGTCTCTTTGAACGTATTTATCGGCAACTTCTCTCACCTTGAGCAGCAAAGCTAGCGGAGGAAAGACATCTTTAGCCAACCCGGCCGCCATCTTGCATACAAATCGGATATCAAATAGCCACGAGAGGGGTGGGATATTTCGCATTTAATTCCTTAAGGAGTAGAACGCCTATTTTTAAAGTTTATTATCAAGCACGATTAAACTGAGATAAGTTTTATTCCTTTTTTGGCCATAATAACATACTAAAATATGGCTAGCGTCTATAACCTTTTAAATTTTAAAAAGATTTTAATTGGCTTCTCTCAGAGCCCCGCTAAGGAGCAATTTTAAACATGAGCTGAGTGACCACGCATTGTTCCTTCGACGAGAGCAAACATGTCGTGCAATGTATAACTCTTCTCGAAAATTTGGACAAAAATTTAACGTGTGGAACATGAAACAATTGATACGAACTACTGTTACTGCTTTGAAACATCTTCGGTTTTCAGGATTGAAGAATTTACACACTACCTCACGAATATTGCAGCTGTCGAAAATAGATGAAACCCAAGAGAAACTTTTAAATGAGCGACTTATCTTGGTCGACGAGAATGATTGCGTTAAAGGCACTGAAACGAAGAAAGAATGCCACCTAAAGAGAAATATCCTACAATACGGAATGCTTCATCGAGCCTTCAGTGTTTTTCTTTTTAATACAAAGGGACAGTTGTTGTTACAACAGAGATCGGACGTGAAAATCACGTTTCCTGGTTGCATCACCAACACATGTTGTAGTCATCCATTATACGAGGATTCTGAGTTAGTGGAACATGGTAATGTCGGAGTGAAAGTAGCTGCAAAGCGGAGGCTTTCTTACGAGCTTGGAATTCCAGGTATGTTAGACGGCACCGGCTTTTTTTTCATTCTTGAGCTTGGGCTCGGCAGAGAAGGAGACCGAAGGTCCTGTTACCATGGACAACAAAAACCCAGGAGTGTTCTTCAACTGGTCATGATTAGTTCTCAGTACCAGTAAAAGCACATTTAATTATTTTTCATGGCGTGAAATAAGGGATGTTCATCATCAGTTTATCTTTGTTTTAATTTTCTCTTCATTTTTGAGCGAAGGAAGAGACGTCAGTTTGTTACCCTAGTGGCTCACCCAGGTAAAGCTTTTCCTGGTTGCATAGCATCAAAGCAACTACATTAATCAGTATAGAAATAATACTCCCACCTGTGGCAGGTAACACCCTCCCTTCTGTCCCCCCACCACTGCATTTGGCAGTTACATTATACTCATTCATACCCAAGTGGGTAGAGAGGACACAACACCAATATCCATACAAGACTTTAACCAGGACCTTTGAATCAGGAGGCTACATTTTACCACACTTGCACCATTTTGGTTATTTCATTCACTTTTTAAAGCTGGAGTCTTGCTGTAATTTTTTGTAGATAACCAGATCTCCTTAGAGGATCTCAGGTTTCTCACCAGGATTCACTACAGAGCAGGATCAGATAAAATATGGGGAGAACATGAAATAGACTATGTATTTTTTGTGCAGAAGGATGTTAACCTAGAGCCAAATGCCAATGAAGTCAAACGCTGTTGGTACGTTTCAGAGATTGAATTGAAAGAACTACTGCAGAAAGCAGCTGAAGATTCTAACATTTTAGTGACCCCTTGGTTCAAAATGATCACTGATCACTTCCTATACAAGTGGTGGGCAAGTCTGAGGGACTTGTCACAATTTGAAAATGATAGTGAAATTCACAAAATGCCAGGGGTACCTGCACCCGTATTACAGCTGTGACAGATGTTAAGAACAAAGAAAGCTTTTTTTGATTCATCACTCAATTCAGTGGGATGTTTGAAAGTTCTTGGGTGTGCCCCACTGTTGTTTCAATGTCTTTTTAGCCAGCCAAGTGGAAGTGGCAATTGATCTCTAATTACTTTGCTCACTTTTTCCACATGCTTATGTGAAAATTCCCTATAGCTCATGTTTCTTGTGCTTGGCTAGAGGAAATGGAGATTTCTATGGAAGCAACATGCACATAAGAGGTTGATGAATGTTTTTATCAAGTTTTCATCATAAAACAATTGATCTATAATTATAATTATTTATACTATCTTCAAAAATAAATGGATTGGTTAAGTGCTGTTGCTTACTTGTACACCTGGTTTCTTCTGACAAGCACACTGAAACATGATGGGGATGACACTTCACTACATATTTAGCAGAGATTTCAAGTACAATGTCTCAAAATGACTTTCTTTTTTCTATGAACTACTTTCTACAAATACAGCAGATTAAAAACCCCATTGTATATCAAACTAGTCAATAACAAATAAAATTCTGTAGGCAATCCATCTGAAGTTGTAATGTACTTCACAGAAATAAGGTGACCAACAATTACTGGCACGCTGTATGTAGCAAAGAAGGTGTTTATGCTAGGTAAAACTGAAAAATAGAATATGGACCAACTGCTGGAAAAATTAAAACACAGAGTTTTGCAAGAAAAAGAATTTGTTTCTTCTCGACAACTTTTTTTCTCTGAGGGAAGAAATCACGCAGGAAGTTCACAGAAAAAAATCTTTTTTTTTTACATCTAACGCATATTGTAGACCATGTACTGATTGTACAGAAATTCGTGTAAAATATGTGCAAGTCTGAAAAGTACTTTAATTGGTCAGGTATACTGCCTGAAAACAGAATGTCATTTTTGACCCAAATTTTTACTATCCACTTACTCCTAAGATTATATACAAAGTTAAAACAATTTGCTTATATAGTGTGACTTTTTTTGCATGATATACTTAATTATTTCTTAGTTATTGTATGATAGTGAAAAAAGACTGAAATATGATTTTGAAATATACACTGCTTTAAACTTATTCCTTCATGGGAACATTATAGAGCTTTTCTTATCAGACCTGTCAGCTGTGAAGCTGAAAAGATTCCTCACTTTGTACATAGTTAAAATAGAACATTGTAATTAAAATGAAATGCTAAACCAGAGTTTACAAACTGTCAGTATAGGTTATGCATTTAAAAGCAAAGTCATATTTAATTTTCCTTAATTGTTAATGAGATGTTTCCATTGTTTCTGTGTATTTTGATTCATCTTCAGTCTGCAGTGTTGTCCATTTGTTTGGAATTTTGTTTTTGTTCCATTCATTGGCAAAGTTTACAAACTTGTCCCAAAAGTCTGATTTTGATGTTTCATCAAAGTAACCAGTCTCACTTGCAAACTTGCGCTGTGTAGGGAGAAAAAAATTTAAGGAAAAATAGAATAGAATTTCAACAGCAGTCCATTTAATATGTTGCACTACAATACTGAATTGTAGATACAGGCAAGAATCTATTTTCAACTGCCATTTTGAACACCAGTCCCACAATTCAAGATTTTTGGCCACCAGCTACTGATGTGCCAAAAATAAAGCTAATATTTTTAAGATTGCAGCATAAATCTTGGAGATTTTAATTGGTGTCCAAATATATAACAGTGCAAAACATTGTAATATAGTAACCTTAAGTTAAAGCTGTATACTCAGGTTAGGTGTGTAGGTCAATCATACATTGGCTGAAATGCCAGTGCAGTATAATTTAAAAATAAAAACAACTACATTCCATGTAGCAAACAACAAGAAAAAGTTAATATTACCAGCAGAATGGCAGTCTTTGTTGCATTTTTCATCTCTTCCTCCTTGGTTTTGAAGGGGGCATACAATTTATTTGTGAATTCAGCTATTTTCAGATGATTCAATTTTCTGTTGAGAACCTGTTAAGTAAAAGTGTCATGACAAAAAGTCAGTTTACAGGGGCTGATAATTTGAATTTCAAAATTCAAATAGTGAATGATCAGCACACGATTATCTACATGTGTTATAAAAATGCTTGAAGGAAAGGTTCTAGTCTCACCTTCTTCCTTATGTCTGCTCTCCATAATGTATATTTTTCTTTGCAATATGATACACAACTGGCCACATGGTGGGCATCAACTCTATCAGCTCCTCCCAACAGAACCTCAATTTTTTCCTGAAACAAGGAGGTACATCTCAAAAAGAGAACTAAGAGTAA